AGACGTGTGCGGCCACGGAGGCACATTAGCCAGCTTTGTCTTGATCTCCCCTGAAAGCCTGTGCGATGCGACCTCCGTCCCCAGAGGAGCCCTGAAGTCTCCGTTAAGCCACCCTGAGCGTGCTCACTGACAGCGGCGAGAGCACCCGCACACGTCCTGCTGCAGGTCAATTCCTGGAGAGAGGAAGAAAGCTCCCTGACAAACAACATGCATTAGGGCCCTACTGTGTGCTGAGGCTACATCACTCTGTAATAATAGGTCATCAGAGCAGCAGCCACGTGATTCCACTGACAGATGGGGATGTTGGGAGAAAGCCAGACCACTCTGCGTGGTTCCCACTCTGCCCCTGGCCTTCCCCCGCCGCTGCCTTCTGCTAGTGGGCAGCTGGGTTGGGAGGGAGGGGGAGGTGATACATGAGATTAGTATTGGATGGACATTTACGTAGTAGTTTTTAAAGCATTTGTCTATTTATAAGGGATTTGTAATCTATGTATTAATCTCGGACCATTCTTTCCTGTAGATTAAGTCAGATGTGGGAGGAGCCTTAACACTTTAAGAACAGAAAGTGCTAAGCCATGGTACAGTTTCAACTGCTATTTCTCATCATGGTCGCAGCCCCTACGTCTCCCACTCGTCTCAGCGGCTGAGCCCAGGCCCCAGCAACTCTGCTCTTCGCCAGCAAGGCCCCGCCTTCCTCCTCAGGCCCCAGTCCCACCTTCCCCACCCCCAGCCTGCTCTTGCCTCAGCACCACTGGCTTCCAGGCTTGGAGTTACAATGATCACTAGGAAAACTTATTTGTAGGATTTTAAATGTATTTAGACACTAGCTGGTTTTGCTCAGTAGATAGAGCATCAGCCTGCAGAACAAAGAGTGCTGGGTTCGATTCTGGTCAAGGGCACATGCCCGGGTTGCAGGCTCCATCCCTAGTAGGGGAAGTGCAGGAGGCAGCCGGTCAATGATTTTCTCTCTCATCATTGATGTTTCTCCCTCTCTTTCCCTCTTCCTTCCTCTCTGAAATAAATAAAAACATAGTTTTTAAAGAAACATATTTTAGAGCAGGCCTGAAATCCCAGGTCATGTATGATACTGACTGCTCTACGTTCTAAGCAAAGTATGTAGAACAAATGATGCAGAAGTGAGCGTTTGCCATGCAGGCATTTTGTCCATGTTCCGGCCAGGGCAGGAGAAGTTGGGCTTTCCAATGGCGCTCAAAAGCCTCCCAGGAGAAAAAGACAATGCCGACTGTCCCAACCCCACCCACAGCCCACGATGGGGTTAGTTATGGGGTCCAGGGAAGTTACGGGCAGCTGCAAGTGTTCCAACAAGGCAAACTTTACAGTAGCCATATCCAAATCCAAGCACAACTGTGTGAACATTTATGGTGGTTTTTCCCCAGTGAAATCAACCCTCATGTCCCCACTGTGGTCTCAGCCTTGCCAGCCACCTCGGACTCCCCAGAGTCCTCTTGTCTGGGTTAACCGCAACTATCAACTAGGCAGAGGTTGGAGGATTTCATGTCAAAGAATCACTCTGAGTGAAATGGATGAAGAAATGTAATTAACAAATAGGGAGAAGTTAGAGGCCAAGCCACTCAGTGATAGCCAGTGACTATTAGCAAAAAGAGTTTAATAAAATCTCTGCTAGGCACAGCTTCCTGAACAAGCAGAGAACGGGTTCATTGAGTTACTAGCCTCTGTACACTTGAAATTTTATAAAGAAACTAGAAGCCGATGCATGAAATTCAAGCAAGGGGCCCCACCCTCACAGCCCTGGCTTCCTCGGAAGGTCGTTCAGCTGTCCGGTCTCATTAGCATATTACGCTTTTATTATTATAGATTCTCAGCCAAAGAGCAGGCTTTGCTGACCCATAAGCAATGCAAACCACAGAGAGAAAAAAATGTAGCTGTTCTTCCAGACAATATAGCGGCTAATGAGAAACAAATTCAAAACCAGACACAGTCAATATTGACACAGTCAAAATGAATCCAATAGAACACATTTCGTGTGTTTAATGCAAATAATAGTGGCTCAAAATACAACGGCAGTGGGACCTACTAAGTCACTGTTTATATAATTCAGTCGTGGATCTCTTAAAGTCAACATGCAAATGAATTCCTGCACTGGACAGGTAAATAATCTCCCTGGAGTTTCTAATACCTAAGCCAGCAGGCTCGCTTCTTCTAAAAGTTCCGGCAGGTCTATTACACTATCTTAGTCTCTAAAAAATTTTTTTCTTATTGAAAACTAATAAAATTCCAGACCCATCTCCCTTGTCTACAGAGATTCTTTAAATTGGGCATTCTTTTTAAAATATATTTTATTGATTTTTTTTTTTACAGAGAGGAAGGGAGAGGGAAAGAAAGCTAGAACCACTGATGAGAGAGAGACATCGACCAGCTGCCTCCTGCACACCCCCCACTAGAGATGTGCCCGCAACCAAGGTACATGCCCTTGACCAGAATTGAACCTGGGCTCCCTCAGTCGGCACACCCAGGCTCTATCCACTGAGCCAAACAGGTTTCGGCTAAATTGGGCAATCTTTCACTTGTTTTTAATTTTATTGTATAATCACACGGAAGAGCAGCGCTAAAGGAGCGCTGCAGTGGCTGTAGAGATAAAGGTGAGGAGGGCACAGCTTCCCAGCCAATCTCCCGACCTGGGAATTGCACGGAGACAGCACCCGTTTTCCTCTGGACCCTCCCTCAGGCTGGGGGCAGAGGCCACAGCACGTACCACAAGCACGAGACTCCCTCCCGCCACTCTGCTTCTGCACCGCCGAGGCTGGGAAGTACATTTGGTTCTCGTTTACTGTGGCAACTGTTGGTATGAACACTCCTCAGTGTGAGTCTCCAGGAGGTGGTTGGGAAGGGAGAGCAGAGGAAAAGGACAGAGGCCTGAGGTTTCTGTCTGGGCTTTTGGCCCAGCTTTTTGTCTGCATCTTTTGGCTTCTCTGGGCCAGGATCGTACGAGGATGGCGAGGAGACCTGATGCTCAGAGCCTGCCGGAGAAGCCTGTGCGAGGAACCTGTGGCTGCAGGACCGGATGCTCTGAGAATCACTGTGCCTCCACTTCGTGGGTGCAAATCTAGGGTGAAGACACAAAAAAGCTCTTCCTCCGTACAAGAATGAAAGCCTTTCTCACTCAAAATATAGGCACAGCCTTGAAGGATGTGAACAGTAAACGCAGAAACGATCTTTGTAAGACCCGAGCCACTGTTCTCCTTAGTTATAGAAGCCAGGCCCAACATCCAGATGTGCACTCTTGTTCAATTCCACTGTCTGTGCGAGCCAACCAATGTGCAGAGCGATCTTTTTTAAATCTGTAAAATGGGCATAACAACTTTTTAGCTAAGTTGCAAGATGGCTGTGAGACTTCAGTGAGGTGAGGTATGGGACGGGCCGTGCATTCATAAGCTCTTGGACCTTGCATTTCACCCTGTGCTGTGAGGAGAAGGCCCAGCCTGGTCCCTTCTTCTCCAACGTGATTTTCTAGGCTCCAGGCTGAGTCCACGCTTTATTTCCTCCTCCATCCCCTCCCCCTGCAATGCACACTGCCCCATAGGACAGCCCTCCGACCGGCTCTCAGCTCCCTTTAATGATGCGTATAATGAATGGGTGTGTTTAGTATAACCTATGTTTTCCTAAGCAATGCATAATAGCTGTAGAAGATTCTGGCTAGCCAGATAAAGCATCTGCTGGATGCGGACCTGGCCTAAGTTCCACACCTGGCTCGGCTCTTCTCGCTGCAAAAGCCTATTCCAAGTCCAGGTGGCTGGTCTCCTATCCTGAAGTTTGCTGCCAACAACACCTACAACAGACTCATCCACAATGGAATTCCAGAGCCCCACCTTCGCCCTGAATCTGAAGTACAACCACTGTGGGCAGGGCCTGGTCATGTGCTCCGCATTTTTGCAAAACTACTCAGGTGATTTTCCACAGACCGAGGCTCGGAGGCTCTGCTCCGATTCCAGAGCTCACTTCAGAGCGAGGATGGGCAGTCCCGGCCTCAGTGCGGGTGCAGGCTGAGAGCCTGTGGGGGACGAACACTCGCCCCCGACACCCAGACCCCCTGACCGGAGCCTGCAGTGTAAGCGAATCCCAGGGGCTTCTGCCACATGAACTGTTTCAGATGCTCTGCTGTATCCCCTGGGAAAGTTTACAACCTACCCATACCTGGGCCCACCCAAAGATGGAGGAGGTTGGCCAAGGCCACGGGCTCTCAACAAGCTTCCCAAGCTATTGCTATGGACAGCAGAACAGAGGGCCACTGAATTCGAAATTCCAGCTTTTTTCTACTTTGAGTAACTTTTATGTTTCAATTAGAGTTGACCTACAATATTGCATTTGTTTCAGGTGTGCACCCCTGTGATCAGATATTATATAACTTACTAAGTGATGACCTCAATAAATCAAGCACCCACCTGGTACTGCACATAGTTATTGCAATATTCTTGGCTCTATGTCCTGTGCTGTATTTTACATCCTGTGGGTATTTTACATCCTATTTTGTAGCTACCAACTTGTACTTCTTAATCCTTTCACCTTTTCACCCATCCCTAAATTCCAGCTTCTTTTTTTTTTTTTTTCAATCTTTAGTGTTCAGATTACTACAGATGTTCCTCTCCTCCCCTCCCTCCCTCCCAGCTCCCTTCCACCTGGTTCCCACCCCACCCCAGGCCCTTCACCCCCACTGTCCTCATCCCTAGGTGTAAGATCTTGACTTAAATTGGCCTCTGTAGTCTTGCCCAGGCCTGAGGACCACTTAGAGTACTTTTAAGGGACAACAGACTCTGGAGACAAACAAGTTCAAATTCACAGCTTCAAGGTTTGTCTTCCCCTTAAATCTAGGCAAGCAGGCAGGACCCCTTCCCATCCTCGGATCGCCCCGCCCTCCTGGTAGCTCCGCCCCTCTTTGGTAGCCCCTCCCCTCTCGTGTAGCCCCGCCCCCGGTGACGTGCCGCCCGGGCCCGGCTCATGCGCATTTGCGCCCGCGCCTCCGGCCGCTCCTCCCGGCGCTGTCATTCTCCGCGGCGCGGCGCCCGGTGCGGACTGCGGCGCCCGCGGCCCCGCGCCCGCCCCCTGCCCGCCCCTCGCCCGCCCGGGCCTCCCGGCCGCCCGGCGAGCTCGCGATGTGACGAGCCTGGCAGCGGGCAGGCGGCCCTGCGAGCAGCAGCCGCGCTTCAGCTTCTGTCCGGCCGCGTCCCCCGCGGAGGAGCCGCGATCCCCTCGGAGCAGGAGACGCCGCACACCCGGGGCTCGGAGCGCGCCCCCCGGGCCCGGTGCCGCCGCCGCCGCCGGGCCCCGCGGAGCCGAGGCGGCGGGTGCGGAGCGGGGCGGCCGGCCGCGCAGCCCAGCGCGGTCCCCGGGAAGGCGCCCGCTCGCCGCGGCCCCGCGAGTTGACTGCAGTTTCCGAAGTTGGAGGGCGCCGTGCGGAGGCGAGGTCGGTGGTTACCATCTTCGCGGCGTGGGAAGCTGGGGCGGCATCTCTGGTTCGCCGGCGCCGGCGGGGAGGTCCGGGTGCCAGCCGCGGGCACACGCGCGGGAGGGCGCGGCGCGGCGGCCGTGCCAGCTGGACACGTGCGGCGCGAGGACAGGTGCTGGCGGGCACCGCGCCCGCCGCCCGGGCACGTCCCCGGCCTCTCCGCGGTGTGTGCGGGGGAGGGCGCCGGGGCCGGTCCCCTCTGTCCTCAGTCCCGGTCCCCGGAGCCTCCTGTGACATCCCTGGCGCCCTGGGTCCCTGGGGATGGGAGCTCAGCCTCGGTCTTCCCGCGCGCCCCACTTCTCTCCTCCCCTGGGCGGCAGAAGTTCCAAGGTCTCCGGAACAGCCCAGGTTTTTCAGGGGAAGACAACTTGCCTGTCAGCCCCGGCGTTTTGTGCTGTGAGGCGATGGCAGGGGCAGTCCGCTGTGCTGTGTGATTGCATGCACTTTGAGAATGGGAGCGGGTCTGCAGGAGCAGCACACAGAGGACACTGGGCTTCTCTGACGTCCTCCCTCTTATGTGAGCCTCCGCGGGCAGCAGCTGTGCCTGCTCTGAGGTCCGGTTTAATGGAAACCCTGACAGACACTCAGCGGCTCTCAGGGTGACATGTCTTCCCCTGACAGGGAGCGAGCGAGCAGAAACCCAGCACATTTTTCAGGGCAGCCCCAGGGCTGAGACAGAGTCGTGTTTTAAAACACCACGCACTGCCAGAGCCCACCGAGGCCTGGGCACTCCCCTTTGTTTTAGAGATAGTGGACATGGGTCCTGCCAGGCAAGCGTGCATCTGAAAGTTAAGACTGATAAGTAAGGGCTTAATTATCCTAATAAACAAAGAGCGTGATGTACAGGAAGCTGCCTGTGCACTTGGAAAGATAGACTTTTTTAAACCTCTCTTTCTCATCTCTTCCCTGGAGATTCCTTCTAAGCATCATTGATCTGCATCATTGATGTTTACTATGTTTGGAGTTGATCAAATTTGTAAAAGGATACGCTGAAGTACCATAGAGTACTGTGGTGACTAAGACAGTGAGTATTAGAAATAAGGAGACTATTCAGATTATTTAATGTAGTAGTCATTAGTTTAACCAAACAGCATTAATACTTCCCTAATATCTATCTATTAATATCTATCTACCTACCCACCTATCTATAGTTGTTGTTTTTTTTAATTTGGACTTATAATTCTTTAAATAAAAACTCATGGGTACATTTTAATGTAAGACTTATTTGGGTAATCTGTAGAAAAAGCAGCACACTTATTTATGGTATTCCAGCACAGAACAAGATGAACTAGTTATAGGTGCCTCATTTAAAAACATATAGTTTCTTTGAAGAGTTCTAAGAAAATATACAAAATGTTACTATTTCAAAGGTTGAAAAGTTGGTCTAGTCAACACACCGTGGTTGTGAGACCACCCATGGCGTATCCCTGAAAGAGAGGCACCGGGATTGGGGTCCCGGGCAGGCCGACCCCCACACACCCGCATTGTGATGGGGAGGACGGAGCGGAGCGGGTACCCACACTCTGCCTCAGAGTCCTCGTCTGTGAAACGGGATGACAGCAGCTCCTCCCTCATTGACGTGGGTGAGGATCCGGCGCGTTACGGATGTGAAGCTGCTGAACCAGTGTCTGGCCCATGAAACGGGTAGAGCGGTTCGTCTTCAGAGAGGAAATGGGCACCTGGACGGCACTGAGTGATAGCTGACGCAGGTGAACAGTCAGTTCACGTGTGTAACCGGGGGAGGTAGAAGCATTTAATACACACCTCCTGGGGATGCAGACCGGCTGGGGCCTGACGCGCTGTCTCCCACAATTCTCCTCCGAGGAGGTGACCCCGTGTCCGCTTTAGAGATGGGGAAACAGAAGCTCAGGAGGCCAAGCAGTAGAACTCAGAGAGGGGATCTTAGCCCGCTTCTCGTCGTTCAAACCCTGTTCTAAAGCTGCTGCCTCCATCGCCCCTCCTCCATCCTCGCAAGAACATAATGAAATAAGTGCAATATTACCTTCAGTTTACAGAGGAGGACATTGAGGCTGCACAGTAAAGTATGCAAAGTGCTGCCGAAACCGGTTTGGCTCAGTGGATAGAGCGTCGGCCTGCAGACTGGAAGGTCCCAGGTTCGATTCCGGTCAAGGGCATGTACCTTGGTTGCAGACACATCCCCAGGAGGGGGTGTGCAAGAGGCAGCTGATCGATGATTCTCTCTCATCGATGTTTCTAACTCTATCCCTCTCTCTTCCTCTCTGTAAAAAAAATCAATAAAATATATTTTTTTAAAAAATAAAGTATGCAAAGTGCTAAACAGCAATCACAGTCTCGTTCTCCGCGACGGGATCTTTGCTGTTATCCTAATTAATATTTAGTAACTCGCCCGTCACAGGTGAGCGCAGTGCCAGCAGGTGCGGGGCGCTCCCTGCAGCGTGGAGTGACTCTGTGGCTTTTTACTTCCTTCTCGGTCTGTGGGGCAAGTCGAGAAAAGAAAACGGGTATGAGGCTGCGACTCCCGGCGGCGGATGGGGCCCTGGCTGGTTTCCTGCCTGCAGCTGGCTTCCTGGCTGCGCGGGTCCAGGTGGGCTAAACCGTGATGGAAGCAGCGGTGCACCCACAGCCATGTCTCCAGGCAGACCGAGAGCCTGGCACGGTGCCGCGCACAGTGCCGTGTGTTCAGAACGGAGGTGGCTGTGCCCCCCTCCCTCTTCAATAAGCTTCCTCTCGGCCTCTGCACCTGGCCTGGGAGCAGCGCCAGGCCCCAGGGAGCACTGAGGTGTCGGAACTGGTCACAGCCCGCGGGCCGTCCCCCCTGAGCACCGGCTGGGCCTGCTGGGCAGCCCGCGCTCCGTGGCTTTCTCCCGTGACCATCGCATCCCTCACGAGGTTCTGGCGCTCGGTAGACACCGCCTCTCTTTGCTAGGCATGGGCATGAATTGCTGTGCGAGGCACATGGCATCAGACCCCTCTCAGGCTGATCTAGTATTAATGACCCCTCGGAACTGATGCCACCCACCCCTGGGGCTACTTCCAGAGAGGCTCCCAGCGGCTTTCTCTGCCAAAAACCAGAACGCCGAGCTGGCTGCAGTGGGCGATACGGTGTCACAGGCTTGAAAGCAGCTAAGATAAGGTGACCAGACGTCCCGCTTTTGGCGGGGCAGTCCCGATTTTCAACGATTTGTCCCGCGTCCCGCAGCCTTTTAAAAAAGTCCCAATTTAAAAAAACAAAATAACGGGACTTTTTAAAAACGCCGCGAGATGCGGGACAAATTGTTGAAAATCGGTACTGCCCCGCCAAAAGCGGGGACGTCTGGTCACCTTAAGCTAAGGGAGTAGCCCTCACACGTTCTCATCACAAGAACAGAGACGCTGTCCCTGCGTGGATGTTAGTTACCTAGACTTGTGGTGGTGGTGCCTTCTCAGCAGATACAAGATCGAAACATCAGGTTGCACACCTTAGATTAATATACGAATAATAAAATACCAGTTATATCTCAATATAAAACAAAAGACAGCTCTGTGGGAGGGAGCTCAGGGGAGGCCTCCGTGTGCTGGGGCCGCAGGGGCGCCCAGGACCCAGGCTGATGCCGCCGAGGCCCACAGCTCTCTGCTCGCCCCTTCTTTCCGGAGTTCGCATCCCCTTTTCCTCGGTCAGACTGAGGTTCAGAGGCTCCCCTGTTCCGGGTGGTTCTGCAGTGAAATCTCCCCCAGGCCCCTGGGTCACTGCAGCCAGACCCACACTGACGCTCAACCAGCTCCTCGGAATGTCCGTGCGGCTCTGTGCTCTTTCTGGTCTGGTCCTCTCCCCGCTGGCTTCTCTGGGGACCCCCCAGACCCCCACTTCCTCTCCCCGGCACCGCTTCCTCTGGCGTCCGCATGGACCGGAGCGCCGGCTGCTCTTCGCGTGGACACAGATGCTCACCTCGCTCACTCTCTCCCCCACCACCTACAACTCTGAATTGTCTGCATCTGAGCTCAGGGAGTCGGGAGCTGACATCCCTGAGACAGCTCTGGGCCACGGTGTGTGGGGGTGTGTGGATGGGGGTGCTGTATACAGGTTTCTGTTTGTACAGGCAAGCCGTTCCTGTGCCTGCGGCAGCCGTCCCTCAGGCCGGGCGCTGTGAGCCCGAGAGCACAGGGTGGGAGAGGGGCAGGCAGCTCCGAGGGTGACTTACTGCCGCCCATCCAGGCCTCCCCGGCTGTGCCCGGATAGGAACGGGAGTGGCCGCTGACATGGGACTCACCCGCCCGCTGTCCTGCTGAGAACTCTGCTTCAGCATTCACTTTAAAAATTAATTCTCGGAGTGAACCTTGCATAGCAGTTACTTTATTGTCCTCTTTCGCAAAAGTGGAAACTGAGGCCCAGAAAGGTCAGCACACGTGTGCAAGTCACACTAGTGGGTGTGGAGCTGAGGGCGGAGTCGGGGCTGTCCCAGAGCCCTCGGCCCCTTACACAGCATCTGCTGCCTCCGTGAACTGTTCCCGGGTGTCCTGCGTTGTGCTTCTAAGTGGTCCCACACTGTCTCAGTCCCTGCATTCCCTGGGGCAGGGCTGTGCCCTCCGGCCTGCCCATGCCAGCAGCTGGCACTGGCTGTCATTGCTCGTCTCTGTGGAGGAAGAGTTTAAGCTCAGTCCACGCCGTGAGCTCAGAGAAGAACCCAGCGGTGCTTGTTGTGAAATAGGAAGCCCGGAGCCGGTGGCCGGTCCCGGGACACCCCGAGGGCCGCGTTAACTTCTCCGTGTATCTGGGTTTGCGTCATCCTCCTTAGGGGAAAGGAGAAGTGCAGAGGCCTGAGATTTTCTCCAGTGACTGAAGAAAGGGGGGTTGTGCCACCAGCAGTGTCCTGAGGCATTCCAGGGAGACCCAGGCCGTTGCCGTAAATGAGCGCCCCCGTCCGGCAGGTAAGGCTCAGGGTGTGGCCGGGACGGGAGCCTCAGACCTGGGCAGCGGTGCCCCCCTCTGACCACAGGCA